CTGCCGGGAACCAGGGCTCTGGTCCAGGCTCCGCCTGACTTCAGGCAAAGAACTTAGTGAGCCTGTGCCTGGTTTCCCTGTGTGAAAAAGAGGCAAATAACACCATGTCACAGTAATGAACACATTTAGGAGCCCTCTGAAACTCCGAAACGCTACAGAGAAGGGAAGCTATTACAGTTGCAAGGCAACCTGAGAATGAGGACTGTGTGGGGTGGAGGCAGGGGGACAGACAGCCGTGGAAACATTCCTGGAAGCACTTTTAAATGGGCCCTTGCTATGTGTGAAGAATCCATTTCCTCCTTCCCAGGAACAATAGTTGTCATATTTAAAATGTGTATATGCTGTACACCTTTCTCTGTAAAATGGAGAAGGAATTTTCATCTGGGACACCCATTCGCCTGACCCTGTGGCCCTGGGGGTCTGCGCTGAGTGGGAACAGAAACACCCATCACCTGTTTCCTAAGAAAGTCGTCACAGTGAGTCATTCAGCAAAAACCACCAACAAACACATTGTTAGCAAGTTAGTGCCTGTTACATAGCAAGACATTCCACACAGCCTGTGGGGTAACCGTCTCCCAGGCTCCTGCACAGCCTTCCCAGACGTCACAGTAATTTACACGTAACCTTTAAATTAGATCGACCACCTCTTCTTCTAAGTCTCGGACTGAAGCTGTGCCTATGGTAAGTTCAAAAGTAATGACACATGCTTAATAAAAACAAAGTCGTATCTGTCATTTTGCGTCTGTCAACCCTCATTTCTCTAACTTCTCCAACACTTAGTTTTATTTGACATTTTCAAATATTTGAATCTTGAGTTCATTCTTTACTGTTTTAGTTATCATTGAAAGTTGACGGTAAAGTTCGTCATCTTGATGGGTTTTTGAGAAATAAGAGTTGGTTCAATAAGCTCACTCCAAACACAGTTGAATTTAAACAGAAGGAAGCCTAAGCCTAATTCCTTTTTCCACCCCTTGAATTTTATTTTTTCTTGCAAGAATACCATGCTGTCCAATGAGAGCAACATTAACAAGCTGGGGTGTGTGTGTGTGTGTGTGTGTGTGCGTGTGTGTGTCTGTGTGTGTGTGTAAGAGTTATTTTATTTCTAGAGATGGATGGCCTTTGCAAAATGTTCACCTTCTGCTCCTTGATGTCAGTAGATTACAAAAGGAGGCCACATGACCATGAAATACGTTCTGCTCTAAGCGGGAGAGAGATCGCGCCTCTCGTCACATCTGGCTTATCCTCTGAGAGGATATGTGACCGGAGAGGCGTGGATTTTGAACTTCTGTGTTTAAGAAATTATGAGGCTGTGCTCCTTCTTCAGTAAAGCCAGCCCTCCCTCCTGCTCAGCCCTGGACCTGGGGAGGGATAAGGTGAGCATGGTGGGACCCTGCGCTCCCACCTCCAGTCCAGGCACATACGTCAGAGCAGTGTTTTCCAACGCTCAAGTCTGAAACCATCAGTGGCTCATGTCACCAATTCAGTGAGTGTGGCCATTTTTTAATGGACTAGAAGAGAAAATAATGTGATAGATTCTGTGTCATATGGACTAGAATAGAAGAAATTGCATTTCACATAGATCGCGTATAGCTGCATAAGTTTTTTTTCAGATGCAGGCACATACATACACGCTTGATCACGGTTACGTGTACTTCTTAGTGTAGGTCAGACAATCAAGCTCCGAAGCCACTGTATTTTAGGAAGGAAAAGTCAACATCTTCCTCCCAGAGAAGCAGATGAGGATAGAGAAAGCAGCAGTCAGGCTCTGGAGTGGAGGTGGTGGGGGGGCCTCCAGAAATGTTGGAGGTCCCTCCACAGTTCCTGTGGTCTGAGCACCCACCTTTGAAAATAAAGTGAGGATTAAGAGAGGGGACTGCCTGGTGGAGGCTTGGCAGGCCATGTCACCTTAGGCAGAGGGGCAGAGGTCTCGGCCCACGCCTTCCTTCTCCTGGAGTGGGATGAAGTGGTCCTAGCGATCACGACTCAGAAGGGCACGCGCGGCGCCTGCCAGGGGAGGCCAGCACAAATGCGAGTGGGGGCTGCCTGGCCTGAGACCGGAGCCCCAGGAGCAGGGCCGGGCCGCTTCGTTGCCATGACAGCCTCAGGCGCTTGGCCATCTCCAAACGCTAGGATCCTATTCTTCCTCCCTCCGATGGAAACCACCTGCTCTGCAGGGCCTGGGCATCGTTGCAAGCCCTGAAGCCCACCCCACGGGGAGGGTGGGAGCGGGATGGAAGCCCCTCTCAGCACACACTGGCGGACCCACCTGGCTTACCGACCTGCGCTCATCAGAGGGCAAAGCTCGGCACTGCCCCTTTTCCCGTGACATGAGAGGTTGTTTCAAGAACTAGGAGGGGGCAGAGCGGAAAGACAGTCCTGTTCCCTCGTGACAGCCTAGACCTTCAGAATGAGCCGCAGATTCGACCTGGGCCTCCCACACCTCAATGATGATGGAAGGAGACAAAATTAAGACGAAATAAGCACACTGCGCACCCCAGGGGTGCCTATGAGGTTCCTCCCGCTGCAAGAGGACAAAAAAGCCACCAAAGCAGCCGGGAGCTGCCCGGAGAGGCAGGCATCGCCAGCTCCAGCTCCGGAGGAAGACTCTGTCTTCCCACTCAGAGCCTGCTTCGTCTTTGCACCAAGGATTTGCGTTTTGATCTTTCCGTCACTGAAGAGAGGAAACCGAGATTCTTAAAATACCAACAGGGAAGGAAATCGTTTAAGAAAACCGCATCCTGAGGTCATGTCTGGATAAGCCTGTTTTCCGAATCCATCATATTTTCTTTTAATCCACAATGGAATCCATTTTCAGTGAGTTCGTGGTACCCTTGAAAACTAGCATGCAGATAGTAATCAGAAAGCAACCAGTGTTTTAAAATGGGCAAAAGATGGGAAGAGGCATTTTACCAAAGATCTGAGGAGAGCAAGGAGAGAGGGCGCTCAGCTGTGGCTGCCAGCGGGAAAGTGAAAATCAAAAGCACAGCAGAGGAGACAGCAGCCCCACGGGAACAGCTCAGGCCCAAACGCGCCCCGCCAAGGGTGGCCAGGCCAGGCTGCGGAGCAGCTCAAACTCCCCCACGCTGCTCACCCTATGGTCTCCCTCTGTCTGGGCCTCCTTTTTTTTCTTCTTTTTTTTTTTTTTATGAAACGGAGTCTCGCTCTGTCACCCAGACTGAAGTCTTAACTGCAACCTCCGCAGTCAAACCCCAGAACCATCTGGAAGGAAAAGACAGACCCAGTCTCATATCCCAGAGTTCCTGCTTCAGTCGTTCAAAGCGGGCTCAAGAATCCACTCAAACAAAACCCCAGGTGACTGATGCACTGGTGGGCGTGGGAAAGGGAAGCTGGCAGGGGAGGTTTTGAGAAACTCTCAGGAGTGGGGGTGGGAGGGCTTGCTACTGGAATCCAGTGGGTAGAGGCCAGGGGTGCTGGGGAACAGCCTGTAGTGCACACCCCACCCACCTCATCCACCGAGGAAGACCTGCCTAAATGTCAGTGATGTGGGGCCGAGATGCCCTGGCCAGGAGGATGAGGCTCCGTCTCCTGTGTGAATGCAAAGCCCGCCTGACCTCCCTGGTTGATTTCCCCAGAGAAAAGACACTCCACAAGGCCCATCGGGGTGCACTCTGCACTTGGCATGCCACACCTCCCCACCCGCCTTTGTCACTAGGAAACGTCGCCCTCCCTTTGGCTGCCTAGTAGACCCTTGCCTGTTCGGGCTCCTCCCGTTTCCTTCAGGTGTGAACCACTACCGGCCCCTGCCCTCCCATGCAGAGTGAGGCAGGAACCACACTCCCACGGTGGACCAGCACTGGCCGAGCCTTTTGCAGCTTTCTCCTGGGCATGGGACCCACACCTGCTCATTAAAACCTGTGGCTTGGAATGTGATACCTGAGGAAGTGGCTCAAAACTGTGCTGGCTGCAACCAGTCAGGAATCCCACAGCCCCGGGAGGGTAGCGGGCAGCAGGTCCCATGGCACGGAAACGGGAGTGGCACTTTAAGTGGCTGTTCCTGTGTGTGACTCAGGCCGTGGCTCGTCTCCCCTAGCTCCCACTCGCTTCCCCAGCAGCCTCCCTAGGCTCCCTGTTGACTTGTGAGCAGGTTAACTGTTTTCCAATTACCATTCTCTTTTCTTACCTAAGTTGTTTAGAAATTAACGACTGCATTTTGTAGCCGAGAGTCAAATTGGCACAGCCTCCATTACTTAGCGTGCTTGGCACTAGAAACAACTCAATAAATATTTATGGCATAACTGTTACTGTTAAGGAGGAAAGCAGAGAGAATACATTAGACCCGAAGACCAGGCAACCCTGAAACAGCCCATAGAAAGGGAAGATGGCATTCGCCTTCTCAGAGGGCGGCACAGCACCGGGCATGCTCACCGGCAGAAAAGACACCATCTGCCTCTGTGCTGACACACTGGCTTTGTGAGCAAAGTGGAGATGAATTCGACGATGGCCTTACCTAAGCTAAAGACTATTTTCCAACGTAAAGTCAGAAAAGAAGTTGAAGTTGGGAACTTCAACTGTGAGTGAAGGATGTGGTGTAGCTTACGCAGCTTTGGGGTTGAAACGAGCCGGCCGATGCTTGTTGAACGAGCACTGTTTAAAACTAATCATTTTAATCAAAAATAACAAAGAACAAAAATGAGTAGGGCAGAGGTTTAATGAGGGCAGTAAAATGAACCCTGAAGAAAAGACACATACTGGGCATGCCAACTCTGAGTCTGTTTGTGTTGCTGTAACAGAAAAGCACAGACGGAGTAATTTATACAGAAGTGAAACTTGTTTCTTCACAGTTCTGGAGGCTGGCAAGTCCAAGACCAAGGCGCCCACATTTGGTGTCTGGTGAGGGCCTTCTTGCTGCGTCCTCATGTGGCAGACGGTGGAAGGGTATGAGAGCAAGCTAGTCACATGCTCTATCAAATGTCTTTTCTAAGGGCCTTGTTCTCACTCATGAGGGATGAACCCTCATCAGCTAATCACCCCCTAAAGGCTCTACCTCCTAATGCTATTATATTGGCAACACCTGAACTTTGAAGGGGACACATTGAAACCCCAGCACCAACTAATTTGAACAAATTCTTTCTTTCTATTTCTCAAAAGCCAAGCTGAGTCTTCTAATCATAAGAAAGGCACATTTAGAAAATTCTAAACATTTCGTACAGGTGCAGATGCACACAGAGATCCTTTAAAAGGTGAACTTGCCTTCTTTTAGAATACTGCTCCTCGAAATGCAGTCTGCAGGAAGGACAGAATTGGCAGTAAGGCCTTAGACACTTGTATGGCAAGTTGAACAAAACATTTTTTTGTCTTGTCCTACCTAAGATAGAAAACACTGGCTTGTATTTTGTAGGTCGTTGTCAATTTCATTGAGATTGAAAATAAAAATTTTAGCCTGGGTAGAAATGCCAAATGTGGGTGAAGGGGAGAAGAAAAGAAAGCACACTGCCATGTGTGTACCTACGCAACTGTCTTGCATGCTCTGCTCATGTACCCCAAAACCTATAATCCAATAAAAAATTAAAAAAAAAAAAAAAAAAGAACCCAGAAAAGAAAAAGAAAAGAAGAAAAAGAAAAAAAGAAAAAGAAAAAAAGAAGAAAAAAAAAAAAAGAAAATAAAAATTTTAATCCTTTGCAGTGGATAATTTGGGAAACAAATAAAGTAATGGGTGGATCCATGGAAGTAACAGTTTGTGGAAAATTGATTTGCTTGTGTTTTACTTGTAGCCTAACAATCTTCAGAGGAAAAGTATCAAATGAAGGTATAGCGACTGGAGCCAAGCTCAGTGTGGCAGAGTGGACTGGTGGTTTACTATGTTCTGTTGCTTCTCTCCCCTGGATCCATCCCTACCAGGAAAATTAAGAACCTCCCAGAAGATTGAGTCAAAGGCCATGGGAACAACAGCCTGGGAGGAGAAGGAGCAGGAGCTGCTCAGGGAATGCTCCCATTTCCCAGCAGCCCCAGCATCCCCTGCCCGCTAAGGTGTTGGACGTGCTACCGCCTGGTGACTGACCTGAATCTGTTCCCAGGGAATGTGCGCTGCCCATGTCAGGCTGTTGCTCAGCTGTTGTGTATTGAGACGGTGGCCGGAAGACAGTCATCGCTACTTCATTATCTAATGGTTGGTTTAACCTGTAGGTCTCTGCATCGAGAGGCGTCACACCCAAACCTGGTTTAAAGATTATCCGAGGATCTGAGACTTGAATAAGGCTTCTGGGGTGTTTCTCCTGGGAAAGAACTAGTGCATTTTGCATGTGGAATGAAGTGGGGCAAATATTCATGATCGGGAGAGGAAACTACAGCAGATGGCTTTGCTCATTCAAAACATTCTCTGTCCACCACTACCAAGCTCGTCCCACAGGGCAATTTCACTTCCCATGGACTGGTGTGGACTGGGTGACAGGGCAGCATGCTCCCAGCAGGACTGCATGAGCGTGACATAGTTTCACCATAGCCCTTTTCCCCTCTGCCCTAGGAATGTGTCGGGGATGAGGGTGCACCTTTAGCCTGAATCGCCATGTGACATGACCATGAAGAAGGGGCACGCCTGGGCTGCTGCTGATGTGATTGTGAGCCGATGAGGTCTGGGACTGCTGCTACTCCAGCACAGCAGAGGAAGCTGACACACTAACCCACGGGAATGGAGGTCGAGTTCCTGTTGGTGTTTGCCTCATGTATTCACGCCGAACTTCCTTAAAATCCAGGGTAGCATATGAGAAGGCAAAGGCTGTGATAGGGTTTCACTAATATCGTGATGAAGGAAGAAAAGAACCTGAAAGCCTCTGTGCACTGAAGCCTGTGAGGGTGGGAGCCTGAGGCTTGTCCCAGAAACAGAAGGCGAGGCCCCCCATCTGCATTCCCACAGGCGCTGTGCCAGGTGCTGGGACCCGAAGGCAAGGAAGGGGTCAGACAGTCAGAGGCCAGCAACATTGTTATTGACGAAAGTGGTGGAAGTTTGTGAGGCAAAAGGAGTTTACTTATATATCTTCAGAAACGCTGTCTTCACTGACCTTCCTCTTAGAACGCCCTTAGGGCAACGTCACCAACACTCAAAGAGCCTCAAAACATGTTTCTCCCCCAGGAATCAAACCAGCTCTGTGCTCCCAGCTCTCCCTGACCGTGACCTCCCAGTGTTAGGAACACAGGTCTGTCTCCTCCACCCAAGTATGAACTCCAGGAAGCTGAGGACGTGTCTGTGCTCAGCTCAGCCTCTGGTACACGTGAGGTTTCCACATGTTTGTTCTGTGTCCATGCCACAGTCAGGCACACAAGAGAAGTGCTTGGCATTGATCCCCGACTTCAAGGGTCTTATCATTGAAAAGAGTTGATGAACCAGCAGAGGTGGTTAAAAATTAAGTCTGAATTGTGTGGTAGGACTAGAGCAGGAAGTAAGGAAAGTGTGGCTGCTGCTATCCTAACATCCCTGGAGCACGCTCAAGGTACCACACAGATCAAGGACGGCGAAGGTTCACTAGGTAGAGTGAGACTTGAGCTGGACCCTGGAGGCATTGGATGGGAGAAGGAGAAAGGAAAGAGCTACTTGGGCAGGGAATGACATGAGCAAACCCAAGGAGGAAGAAAAGGGTGTGATGTTTTTTGGGATGAAAGGCCACAAGACCTGCCCTGCAGGAAAGGTTTGCATTGGGAAGACGGGGCATGGAGGCAGCGTGAAGCCAGGGAAGGGAAGGAATGGAAGTCGGGCAGGGAGGGGTATCTGGAGAAGGAAATGGAGTGCCACTATTGCAGCCTTCTGAGCCAGGCCCAGAAACACCTCCTCCTTACACGCCACACACAATCTCCAGTTCTTAGCGTGCAGCCAGGTGCCAGAGCCTGGGGAAGCCTAGTGGCTTTCTCCAGGGACCAAGCGACAAGTAGTCCTTAGGAGCCAGATGTAGCCAGTGCGGTCCAGGAGTGCCTCACTGCCATCAGTGGAAGCACAAATGCTACTTTACTCGGCCTCTCAGGGTCCCCCGTGTCGCTGGGCCTAAAGCCTCCAATGCTTGACATTAGCTAGGAAAATGTCCTGTGGGCACTTTTGGTAGCAACAGTGCCTCGGTTCCGTAAATGAAAGTCTCCAGTCCAGCCTCGGCTACATAGCAAGACCCCCATCTCTAAAAACAATACAATAATAAAGTAATAGCCAGATGTGGTGGTCCACACTCGAAGAATCACTCGAGCCCACCAGTTTGAGGTTGCAGTGAACTGTGATCACACCACTGCACTTGAGTCTGGGCAACAGAACAAGACTTTGTTTCTAAAAGATAAGAAAGAAATAAATAGTTCACTCTGGATGACCTTCCCGGCAGGAGGGGTTGAGGGTGAGAATTTGAACATGTATCTGAATGTGAACACATATCCGCATATGAACACGTGTCTGAATGTGAACGTGTATCCGCATGTGAACACGTGTCTGAATGTGAACACGTATCCGCATGTGAACACGTATCCGCATGTGAACACGTGTCTGAATGTGAACACGTATCTGCATGTGAACACATATCCGCATGTGAACACGTGTCTGAATGTGAACACGTATCCGCATGTGATCGTGTATCCGAATGTGAACGTGTGTCCAAATGTGAACATATATCCGAATGTGAACATGTATCTCAATGTGAACATGTGTCTCAATTTGAACATGTATCCGAATGTGAACATGTATCTCAATGTGAACATGTATCTCAATTTGAACACGTATCTGATTGCTCACTCCTGTATCACCACAAAAACATTTAATAATAGTGCACTGTCCTTTAATAAAGTAGATGGTCTGGTCCCTGAAGGAAGCTTTGAGGACAAGCTTTAGGGCCAGAAGGACCCGTGTTTCTAGGGTGCTTTTCCAGCCGTCAGGATGGATTTGAGGGGCCACCTGGAGGCTTTGCTTGGTCCCCCCAGTGAACATAGAATGAAGTCTTTGAAGATGGGCCTCTGGCCAGGGAGCAGGAGGAAGTCAACTTCCTGAGACTGACTCCATTCCTGACAAGAGGCTCCTGCCAGGATGATAAGAGCCCCTGAAGTTCACATGGATAAAAAGTAGAAGGAGAGGATTCCTCCTCCATACATCTGGCTCTGGAGGGAATGCCCTGCCTGCCTTAGACTTCATCTGCCTAATTTTTAGAAGGCATCAGAAAGCTCTTAACTGCCTGAGGGGGGGAAGTTCCAGTTACATCTCGGGATCCTCTGGCTACACACTCTGAGGTGCTTCTCCCATCCAGCCTGGCCTACCTGGCTCCATTCTGTTCAGTTATGAAGCAGTGTCCTAGAGAAGCATCAACACCACAGAAAGCCAGAAGCAGCTTCCTCCATTCACCTACGGGGCAGTGACGCTTCTCGGGAACCCCCTCCTTCCCTGTTACAGGTGAATGTGGAGTTTCCCTGGAGCCTAGGTGCCAAGGTCTCTCCTCTGTAAATGATGAGCAGGTAAGCAAAACAGGCACGGGTTTCAGGTTGCTGGCGTGGACGATATGTCAAAGTGACGGGTAATGAAGCTCCAGGCGGCGGGGAGGGGCTGGACGTAAAGTGCTGGACTAGCTTCTGACCCTGGCCACACCTGGACACCACCTGGGAAATTCCGACCTGCCCCCAGGCCACCAGGAGACTCTGACTCACTGGGCACTGGCTCTGTTGGTTGTTTTGTTGACTACTCAGGGACAGCCAGAACTGAGGACGCGTTATTCCAACACGGAGTAGCTGCTCACTCAGCTGGAAAGGAAAAAAATATGTTTAGTAGTATCACAATTTAAAAGTCATTTTACTAACTCAAAAAATTTCACATGATCTTTAAGCGTATTTAAGACTAATAATTTTCGTTGTTTCTTAACTCTTTTCCATGAAAATTGGAGCCGTATGCCACCCCGCCCAACATCGTTAGATTTTTTGGGGGGGGTGGGGGATGAGGGGGCAAAACAGAAACGAACGAATATCCAACCTGCCAAAAACTGTGTTTGCTTTCCGCCAGTGCTGTTACATGTTCCTGAGCTTCTAATTTCCCTTTAAATTCCCTGGAGAGATCACAGAGCGGCGTGCCAGGGCCCTTCCTGGGCCAGCGCAGGTGGTGCCCAAGTGGCCCGGCCGGGAGGGAGAAGCTGTGCTCGGGGAGTCCGGGCTCCACCTAGGTCCCCTGTGCCCGCCCCGCCCTCTCCACTGCCTGGGACAGTCTGGGTTCTCACCTGCCCTAGGACCGCTCACCCCAGCTCCCACCTTGACTCTCCCGGGCCCCGCCTCCCTCCCGGGGCCGCGTGGCGCCCACCCGTGCTCTACCACCTATCTCCGCTCAGGGCGCAGCTGCCTGTTGACCCGGGGTCCCGGTTGGTGTGGACGCCACAGTCCCCGCATGTCCAGTCTGGGAACTCACTGTGGGCTCCGTGCCTCTAACCAGTGGTCACAACACCAGCCGCAGCCTGGCAACCTACGTGAGCCCTCCCCGCTGCCCAGCCTCCCCGCACTCAGCCTCCCCAAGCTCAGCCTCCCCCCACTTGGCCTCCGTGCACTCAGCCTCCCCCCACTTGGCCTCTGCGCACTCAGCCTCCCCAAACCCAGCCTCTCCACGCTCAGCTTCCATGTTCTCAACCGCTGTGCCTTCTGCCTTCCTGCACTCAGCCTCTGTCTTCTCAGCCTCTCTGCTCTCAGCCTCCCCAAGCTCAGTCGTATTGAGCCCAGCCTCTTTCTCCACACTGCACTCAACCTCCCCAAGCTTAGCCTCCCCTCTCCCAGCCTCCCTGAGCTCAGCCTCCATGTTCTCAGCCTCTCTGCTCTCAGCCTTCCCAAGCTCAGAGTTACGGAGCTCAACTTCTTCTCCACACTGCACTCAGCCTCCTTGAGCTCAGCCTCCCCTCACCCAGCCTCCCTGAGCTCAGCCTCCCCCAGCTCAGCCTCTCTGCTCTCAGCCTCCCCTGGGAAGCAAGCATTCCTTCTTCCTCATTACAAGGTGGAAGGGCCGCTGGGAGACAGCCTTTCTGCGTTTTTGTATTCAGTGGCTCACAAAGACCCACTTGCCACCTGGCCACAGCAGGAAAAACAACTGAGGTTACTTCCTATTTCTCTTCATTCGTCCACCCGACTGTGGAGTCAGCTACGCTGCTCTGCCCTGACAGAGCGGGCCTCACCCCCTTGGCTTTCAGAGGCTGAGCCAGGACCAAGAGCTGACCTAACAGGAAGAAAAATGAAACCGTCTTGAAGGGAATTTCCTTACCGATGACTAAACAGTTTCTCCTCTCCTGTCCTGCCCCACCGCGAGAGACGACATGTCGGCAAGAGAGTGAGGCTAGAGATTCGAGCCCTGGTTCCTGGACCTCCTGATCCCTGATGGTGGCCGAGTCCACGAACCTTTCCGGCCCTCCGTGCTCTCATCTGCAAAACAGCAGCTGCCTCATAAGCGTGTCAAGGAAGTTAAAAGCGTCGCTATCTGCACAGTGTTTGGAAGTAAAGTCTAGCAGATACTAAATACTTTACAATTATTAGTCATTATTGTCACCTAATTGTCACCTCTCATATGCTCAGCAGAAAATGTTTTAAGACAGCGATAAACAATTTATCAAAGAAGAAATACAGGCTGGGCGTGGTGGCTCATGCCTATAATCCCAACACTCTGGGAGGCTGAGGCGGGTGGATCACCTGAAGTCAGGAGTTCAAGACGAGCCTGGCCAATATGATGAAACCCCATCTATCTCTACTAAATATACAAAAAACATCCCAGCTACTGAGGCAGGAGAATCATTTGAACCTGGGAGGCAGAGGTTGCAGGGAGCTGAGATCACGCCACTGCACTCCAGCCTGGAGGACAAAAGTGAAACTCTGTCTCAAAAATGAAAGAAATAAAGAAATATAAATGGCCACCACATGAAAATAAATACAAAGTTCAACCTCACTATGAGTCAAAGGCATCTAATAAGATGTCTTTTATTTATCACCTCTCAAATTAACATTAAAAAATATACCAAGTATCTCTGGGGGGGGCAGTAGAAAGGACATTCTCCGACACCACTTTGGAGGATACACTGGTAAAACCTTTGCAGAAGACAAGTCATCAAAAACCGTTCAATATATTCATAGTCTTGGAGTTCCATTTCCAGAGGTTTATCCCGAGAAAAATCAGAGCTGTCCATGAAGGTATCCGAACGTCTGTGTTGACTGAAGGGTTGCTTATAATACATAACACAGAAGTACCAGCAGGCGTGGCTGTGCACTCTGCCTTCCTGCACTTCCCACTTCCAACAATGCGGGAGATCTAAACAGTTGTTTAGAGAATGTGTTAAATAAATTATGGTAATAATGGTGTACTATTCAGCCGATGGAAACATGGGGTAGAAGAGTATTTAATAATGTGAGACAAACCTCATGTTAATTTCTAATAGCACTCTTTATAGATGCAAATAGACTAACAGGTAAATGCAGAAAGATGACAAAAGAGGTTGTACCTGGAGAGTACAATCATGAACTGTTTTTATTTTCTAATTTGTCCATCTAGATATTTCTCCAGATTTTTTACAAGCAAGAAAAAAATAGTTACGAAGAAGGCAAAAGTCTACTATTCAACTTTGATATTTATAAAAAACAATTGCTTAAAGTTAACAGTGTCCCATAAATGCCAGATCTGGTGGAAAATGTCCCAGAATCACCCTGGTGCTCGTCCTTTGTGCTATACCATTGTCAAGTGCCTCAGTCTCTTAAAGAACAAGTGTTTTGTCTTCTCAACCTGGTATTATCATGGGTAGCAGAACAATGAGACAAAAACCATGAAAATTCTGTGATACTGTTACCCATTAACCCAACACACGGCAGCATTATAATTAATAACAGAAACTCTTGCTCCGTTGAGAAAATTGATGTGTTCTTTCTGAAGGCAGCAGAGTCTTCTCCATCACTGGCCGGCTTTGCTTGGACGCACAGCTGACTTCTTCATTCCTCTGGATGAAGATGATACAGTAAGTGACCAATGTGACATTGAACTAGAGAATTTCTCTTAATAAAAACAACTTGGGGTTGAATAGTGCCCTGCTTTACTAGATTAGGAAAATTTATCCAGGAAAATTTTCCTAATCTAGCAAAGCAGGGCACTATTCAACCCCAGGCAATACAGAGAACACCACAAAGATATTCCTCAAGAAGACCAACCCCAAGGCACATAATCGTTAGATTCACCAAGATCGAAATGAAGGAGAAAATATTAAGGGCAGCCAGAGAGAAAGATCAAGTTACCCATAAAGGTAAGCCTATTAGGCTTACAGCAGATCTCTCAACGGAAACCCTAAAAGCTAGAAGAGAGTGGGGGCCAATATTCAATATACTTAATCAACAGAACTTTCAGCCCAGAATTTCATATCCTGCCAATTTAAGCTTTACATTTGAAGGAAAAATAAAATTTTTTAGGAACAAGCAAGTACTCAGAGATTTTATTACCACCAGGCCTGCTTTACAAGAACTTCTAAAAGAAGCACTATACACAGAAAGGAACAACCAGTATGGCCCTTTCTAAAAATACACCAAAAAGTAAAGTTTAATATCAAACGGCAGCAACCCTAAATTTAAATCGACCAAATCTCCCAATCAAAAGATACAGACAAAATCTAATGGTATATCCAAAGATATACATAGACTCAAAATAAAGGGTTGGAAAAAAAAAACGTACCAACCAAATGGAGAGCAAAAATAAATAAATAAAAAGCAGGAGTTGCAATTTTCACATTTGACAAAATAGATTTCAAAGCTACAAGGATAAAAGGATTAATGTAATAATAAGAGATCTTAACACCCAGATACATAAGACCCATAATGAGATTTAGATTCAACAAGACAGAAAATTGATAATGATATCCGGGACTGGAACTAAGATCCAGAACAAATAATAGAGCTCTCCATTTTAAACACACAAAATATACATTATCCACAAAATCTAACGATATATCTAAAGATATACAAAGACTCAAAACAAGGGGATGGAAAAAAACTCACCAACCAAATGGAGAGCAAAAATAAATAAATAAAAAGCAGGAGTTGCAATTCTCACACTTAATAAAATAGATTTCAAAGCTACAAGGATGCAAGGGTAAAAGGATTAATGCAACAATAAGAGATCTTAACACCCAGATACATAAGACACATAATGAGATTTAGATTCAACGAGACAGCAAATTGATAACGATATCCAGGACTTGAACTCAGAGCCAGAACAAATAAACACAATAGAGGTCTCCATTTTAAACACGGCATTAACCACTTTAAACACTCAAAATATTGATCGGCCATTATTGAAACCCATTTTAGGAATGAAGTAATATTCCTTTTTCCCTCTTTTTCTTTTTTCCCCCTTCTTCTCTTTTTCCCTCAAAAAAAAAAAAAGAAAGAAAAAGAAAACCACAGGCCAATATTCCAGATGCAAAAAAAAAAAAATAAAGAAAGAAATAAAGAAAAACAACTTATTGGCCGGGCGCTGTGGCTCACACCTGTAATCCCAGTATTTTGGGAGGCCAAGGCGGGTGGATCACCTGAGGTCAGGAGTTTGAGACTGGCCTGGGCAACATGGTGAAACCCCGTCTCAACTAAAAATACCAAAAAAAAAAAAAAAAAAGTTGAGCATGGTGGCACACACCTGTAATCCCAGCTACTCGGGAGGCTGAGGCAGGAGAATCACTCAAACCCAGGAGGTGGAGGTCGCAGCGAGCCGAGATCATGCCACTGTACTTCAGACTGGGCGACAGAGAGACTCTGTCTCAAAAAGAAATTACTTTCTGTATTTAATTGCCTTTTTAAAAACGTTTCAAGTGCCCGTTGAGCTACCACTGACAAAGTGTAGCAACCTTGCTGGCAAACGCATGGCTGCGCGGGCTGTGCTCCTCCCCTTACTGGAGGGGCTTTTGCAGAGGTAGGAGCTGACCCCTGGTGCGGTTCCATTTACCAAACCCGACTGCGGTGGGTACTAGAGCGTGGGCTCCTTAAGTGTAAATATTCGCTCTGCCACTTGACAATCATGCAGCCTTGGCAAGTCATCCTTGGACTTCAGTTTTCTCCTCCTTGAAAATGCCCAGCCCATAGCATGGGGTCCTACAAGACTCTTCATGATCTCCCCCACTCCCCTGGTATCTCATCCAGGGCCCAGCTCTGGGCTCAGTCCTCCTCAGCCGCTCAAACTTCCTTGTGGCTCGGTCCTGCCGTGCAGGTGATCCCCGCTGCCTAGACCCCTGTCCCCAGGATTCGAAGGGCCAGCCCTCCGCCTTCTTCAAGTCTTTGCTCAGACTCACCTACCCCATAACACCTTCCGGGAGTCCTAAGGCTGCAGGCTGCCTCCGCCACCCCGTTCCTGCACCTACTATCTCGCTCTACTTTTCTTTTTCCATCGTGCATGTCGTCTTCTCAATCACCACACAATTCCCTGTTATTTATTATTCACTCTCTCCACCACTAGAGTGTAAGCCCGTGAGGACGTTCTGCTTCATGCTGCATCCAAGCTCTCTGGTGGCTCCTGGCACCTATCAGGCACATGGTCCACGGATGACAACGGCTGCCATGTGGTGTAGTGCACAGCAGCCAGTGCAGGCGTGTCAGGCTGTACTGGCGGGCAGCACACGCCCCACCCTTCTCTGGCCACGGATCTTCATCTCCCTTTGGAGTACCATTCCCCAACCCACCATGAGGTCCTGGGAAGACTTCTCCTGAAATCTGCAGCCTGAAGAAAGTGGCCTAAATGCAGAGCACAGCCACAGATCCGTCCACGGCCCTGAGAATCCGCATTAGCTCCTGTGGACTGGAGGCCCAGGCTGCCTTGGTTCTTCATTTTTTCCTTCCACTCCTTTTTGAGCCCATAGACTTCTAATCACTTTCTTTTTTAACCCATTAACCCAACACACGGCACATGTGTGTTTTTTAATCACATTGAAGCAGAGCTGGCTTCTATTTGAGCTTAAGGGAGAAGAATTTGCTTCTACCCTCTTAGGTTCGGTCACGGGTGTCTGTGAGTTAAACTGACAACAAACAGATTAACAAGAGAGAATCGTACAAATGTTTGTATGAAAAGTCAGGTGTACTCACGGGAGCACTTGGGGGCAGGGGGTAGAATTAGGGGTCTGTAAGGGAAAGACAGTAGGGAGAAAGGATAACTCTGGAAAGCACATTACTTTTTGGAAAGATAAATAGGCCCTCGGGAGAATAGACAGGACGTATGACAGTCTGGTGACAATGTCTTTCTGGATGGGAGGCCAACTTCTCTTCTCTTAAAAAAGATGAGGGCTTCTCCTGGGAGGAGATTTTCAATAATCGAGTTCTTTTGGGAAGCTCCTCTTTTAGGCAGATAAGAGATTTCAGGAACTCAAACGTCTTCAGCTCAAGAGTTACAATAATTCTTAATCAAAGTGGTATATTTTGAGGTAGCATTTCCTGATCCCCTTCACTAGGAACCAAAGAATCCTAAAAATAGATTTTGCTTTCTCAATTTCTCTATTTAAATGGTTTTGTGGACAGTGAAATCAAGGTTAGAAAGACATATTTTTTAAAAAAAATTGATAACTGGACTAAACCCTATATGTGTTCATGTACCGTTCCTGCCCAAATCACTCCCAAATCGTCACTTTCACAAACTGAAAAACTGCACAGTGTTATCACACCCTGCAAACTGTAGAAGCTGTCAAGTCACAACCAAAGCTGCAGATGAATCCTACTGGCAGTCGTGACATACGTGTTAGTTACCAGCAGAATCTGATACTGAAAAAACAGTGTTTAAAAATCCCCTCATCCTTCCCGGCACCCGTGGCCTCTAACTTTCCTGGAGACTCTATTAGCAGAGAGGACGTCGATCCTTTACCCGTTTCTGGGTGCTCCTGGTGCGGTCTGTAGAACGGATGTTTGCATTACCCGTTTTCTGGCTGCTACATCAATTGTTTACCCGTTTCTGGGTGCTCCTGGTGCGGTCTGTAGAATCGATGTTTGCGTTACCAGTTTTCTGGCTGCTATGTTGAGACGTCGTCAGATTATGAATGTACGTGGCTGTGTAATACTTTAGGCAAAGATGGATATAAAAGGTGCGAGAAGAGTAAGTAAGGCAAGCTTTTCTAGTATAAACTGGAGCACTAAACTCTAAGGGGAATGGAGAATCCCATCCCATTTAAAACTCTAACAAGAGGGACAGTTTGAATGGATATGGAGAAAACTGAGGGGGTCACCAGTATCCTGTTCCATTTCTGATTCACCCGAAGCCTTTACTTAGTCTTCCCACCTGCTTTTAGGTTTCTCCAAGTGCCAAGGAAGTAGAGCGTAAGTCCCCTTTCATGGGACCTGTGTCCATCATTTCTGACAAATCGACTAAACGAGATGAGTTGCTCGTTTAGCGAAACACATGCTCACTTGCTCTTTGGTGCAAGAGGTATTTGTGTGCATTTGCAATGTGCAAGCAGGTGCACCCGGAGCGTGCAGGTAAATGAAGGTCCTCGCTTCCAGCTGCTGGGAGGACGAGCTCTGAGAGGAGAGGAGAGGTGAACACAAAAGCGGCCACACCCAGGGCAGAGCAGGGTCAGCATCAGAGGAGAGTTAGAAAGTTAGGGCATTTAGGTTGATTCCATGTCAACCTAGATGACCATCAGTGACAGACTGGATAAAGAAAATGCAGTACATACACACCCTGGAGTACTATGTAGCCATAAACAATGAGATGGTGGCATTCGTGGGAACATGGATGAAGCTGGAGAGTATTATCCTTAGCAAAATAACACAGGAACAGAAAAACCAAATACTGCCTGTTCTCACTTCTAAGTGGGAGATAAATGATAAGAACTCATGACCACAAAGAAGGAAACAACAGACCCTGGGGTCTACTTGAGGGAGAGAGTGGGAGGAGGGAGAGGAGCAGAAAAAATAACCACTGCGTACTGGACTCTATGCGTGGGTAATGAAACAATCTGTAAAACAGACGCTTGGAACATGAGTTTATGTATATAACAAACGTGCACATGTACCCCTGAACCTAAGACAAAAGTTAAAAAAAAAAAAAGGCCGGGCGCGGTGGCTCACGCCTGTAATCCCAGCACTTTGGGAGGCCAAGGCGGGTGGATCACGAGGTCAAGAGATCGAGACCATCCTGGTCAACAAGGTGAAACCCCGTCTCTACTAAAAATACAAAAATTAGCTGGGCATGGTGGTGCGTGCCTGTAATCCCAGCTACTCGGGAGGCTGAGGCAGGAGAATTGCCTGAACTCAGGAGGCGGAGGTTGCGGTGAGCCGGGATCGCGCCATTGCACTCCAGCCTGGGTAACAAGAGCAAAACTCCATCTCAAAAAAAATAATAAAAAATTAAAAAAAAGAAAGGGTGGGTCTTCTGAGCAAGGAACAGTCCTCACCAGGAGGTGATATTTGAGCTTTAATGTCCAGCAATGCCTTCCACAGGCAGAAGCCAAGGGCCAGGCACAGAGGCGGTTAATTCTCTAAAACAAAAGCACACACAGGGAGGGCGGTGGCTGCTGTGGAGATAGCTGGAGAGGACAAGGACTGAAAGAGGAGGGTGTGGCCACCTGGTGGGCCCCGGCCCTGGCCCTGTGCCGGGGCCTGGACAGTCCCCCTCCACTCTACCGCCTTTTCTTTGCAGTCTCCAAGACCGGCAGCATTTTAAAGCATGAGTCAAATAGAGATAAACGTGTGCGTCAACGAATTCATAAGAGTAAAAAGGGCCAAACAAGGATCTCAAATCGTAATTGAAGGAAAACAGTCAATAATTGACTCCTCTCCTCTCCCAAAGCAATGCAACATTTAGCTAAGAGCTAAGCCAAGCTGTCTCATCCTGAGAGTTACTCACCAATTACATTCTGAACCACATCAGTGTTCAAATCTGAACTGATACCTGATTTCAAGCACATAATGCATGAAGTACTTTTGCTTAAATCTCATTTCCTTGCTCGCTTAAACCCAGAAAAGGGAAGACAACTGGAAATTAATCATGTCTGCCAAGATTGCAGTGATCACAGGTAGTTTTCCCATTTCACCTTCTCCTAATTGGCCTTTTACTTTTTCAATTTTACTATTGTATAGTCATGAGATTTTGTTTTGTTTTTGAGGGAGTCTTGCTCTGTTGCCCAGGCTGGAGTGCAGTGGTGCAATCTGCTGACCGCAACCTCCTCCTCCAGGGTTCAAGTGATTTGCCTGCCTCAGCCTCCAGAGTAGCTGGGACTACAGGTGTGTGCCACTACGCCTGGCTAATTTTTGTATTTTTAGTAGAGACAGGGTTTCACCAGGTTGGCCACGCTCATCTTGAACTCCTGATCTCAAGTGATCCACCCATCTTGGCCTCCCAAAGTGCCGGGATAACCGGCCGGAGTCACCATGTCCAGCCACGAGATGTTCTTTTTAAAAGGACGTCAGTGATCTAGTATTTTTATGTATTGCAAATTATAAAATAAAATTTGTACTTGATTATAAGTTTTTGCAACATATTAAATTTTATGAGAATAGAAAAACCAAAAGAATAATGTTCTATAGTCAAATAGTCAGATTATTTGATATACAACTAAAATGGCCTTCCCGAGACATCTGAGGGCCTCGTGGAAGCTGTGTGAGAGGCGTTTTTAAGTTTCTTCCTGTGCGTTCATCTTCACGGCAGATTGGGGATGGGGAGCAGCACAGGTTTGGACCTTGCCCCAGCTTCATTTTCTGTTGTGGCTTTTGTTATTTTTAAGACATTCTTTGACCAAGAAGCATCAATTCTCACTTTGGATTTATTGTGCCCTGAAAGGTTTCTTATTTATTTAGGATGAGCTGAAAGAGGCCACCAGCAGAGGACACCCAAGAAGTCCTCGCAGCTGGTAGAGGACACGAGGAGACAAAAAAGGGGAAAATGCCGTCCACCCAGCACTGCTAAATCTGTGAAATAACTAGGTGTTTTTCCCAAAATGAAATTAAAATTGTCGGCCGGGTGCAGTGGCTCGTGCCTATAATCCCAGCACTTTGGGAGGATGAGGAGGGCAGATCACGAGGTCAGGAGTTCAAGAGCACCCTGGTCAACATGGTAAAATCCCATCTTTACTAAAAACACAAAAATTAGCAGGGTATGGTGGTGGGTGCCTGTAATCCCAGCTACTCAAGAGGCTGAAGGAGGAGAATTGCTTGAACCTGGGAGGCAGAGGTTGCAGTGAGCCGAGATAGTGCCACTGCTCTCTAGCCTAGGTGACAGAGCAAGACTCTGTCTCAAAAAAAAAAAAAAAAAAAAAACAGAAAAAGAAAGAAAGAAATTAAAATTGACATGGGAGAAGAATCTTAGTGACCAGAATGTTTCTGAGAGATTCAGACTCAGTGGCTCCGTGGCTACTGTGCCTGGGTAGCTCAGGTATCCCTGAGCCAACAGTGTCTCCTGGTGCAGCAGAGCCGGCAGGGGCAATGTGGGAGGCGGAGTCTTCCTCACCGCAAGAGAGAAGGGAGGAAGACACACACCCGCAGTCGCTGGGAAAATCACACCCCAAGTGGTCTCCGACAGCCTGCCCCTGACAGTTTGTCTTCAGGAGCAGCCGACAAGTCCTACCAGGGGTGGGAGCTTCACAGCCAACAGCCGCAATTGCCTGAGCCCCTGTGCTGGTGACAGGCAGGCAGGCCCCTTTGAGGCACATAGGCAAGTCTTTTTTCTAATAGCAGCTGAATATATATATATGAGGCAGGGTCTTGTTTTGTCTCCCAGGATGGAGTGCAATAGTGTGATCATGGCTTACTGCAGCCTCAACTTCCTGGGCTCAAGCAACCCTCCGACCTCAGCCCCCCGAGTAGCTGGGATTACAGGTGTACACCACACCCAGCTAATTAATTTTTTTTTTTTTTTTTTTTAGAGATGGGGTCTTGCTATGTTGCCTAGGCTGATCTCAAACTCCTGGACTCAAGCAATCCTCCCACGTTGGCCTCCCAAAGTGCTGGGATTACAGGCATGAGCCTTTGTGTCCGGCCAAAGTAAAAGTTTGTTGAAAAAACATAATTTTATTAGTCCTCAGGCTTTTTAAATTGCAAAATGCATAGTACAGAATCATGACAAGTGAGGAAAATAGTAAATCTAAGGCTGAAAGAAAAACGTTAGAAGAACTCACTTCAGGTTGACTTGGCCATCTTAGTAAGTGACAGAGCAGCAGCACCATCATCTTGAACAAACACCACCTTTAAGTTCCAGCTCCCTCTCTAGCCTCTTGCATTTCAATGAAATCACTTATCTTCTAACTACAAGCAGCCAGAAAGAGCAGACAGTAAAACACAGATAGGACAGCTCAGGCACGGGGCGGGGGGGCGGTGTCTCCTAGACAAACTTCACCCTCACACAATGGGCCCCAGCACATTCCTTTACCTTCAGGTGCACTAAGACAGGAAAGCTGAAAGCGGACTCTGGCCAGTATGCCTGCAGCTGCAGAAAGATTTATGGGAACAGACACACAACTCTCCCTCTCAGAGAAGCAAACAAAGAGACACAGAAGCAGTCCAAGCCTCTGATAAACTCTCCTGCCCTGAATCCTTAAAAACTCTTAGTCTGTAAGAGAAAGTGCCTCTGACGTCACTCAGTCAGAAACCCCTCTCAGGTTTATTCTCTAAAATAAACCTGCCTTTGACTGTCGAGCCACTGTTCTTGTTTCCTTCCTCTTTCCTTAATTCTTACAGCAAGGAGAACCTTGGAGCATTGGGACTTTTCACTCTGCCTTTATATGTGTTCTATCTGTGGCCACAGTGAGCACATGTAATTTTGTCATTTAAAAAATCGGATAGAAAAAGCTTTGAGTTAAAATTGTTCTACTCTGTGAGGCCTGAGGTCGGTTGCATAAGTCAGAATTTTCCATGTCCTTCTATCAGGTCTGCAGTAGCAGGAGAGAGAGAGAGAGAGAGAGAGAGAGAGAGAGAGAGAGAGAGAGAGAGAGAGAGAGAGAGAGAGAGAGAGAGAGAGAGAGAATGAGTGTGTGTGTGTTAGGGTGGGAGGAACAGCTTGAAATCAGCTAAATATGAGATAGCTCTAGGTCCTTCCAACACTACTGGTAAACAAGCACATGCCATGACTACACAGCCAGCCTGTTGGAAATGTGTAGTTCCTAGTCTAATGATATTAAAGAACCAGTCTTCAGGATGAATTCCCTTTAAGCCTCGTCAAAGTCATCTAGGTGTGCACCAGTCTACCATCCTGGGTGCATTACCCATCTGCCAGGTGTCCTGAGAGGGGGATTTATAATTTAGAATATTATGGAATACTTAGTACTTGAAACTTTTCTCTCTCCATTTGCTGAACAAATCAACAATGCTAACAAGCTGTGTGTACCAGAGTCAGCTAGCAATGCTCTGTAAACAATAGCAGGCTCTTTAGTCCCAGCTGGTGGAACAAGTCTTTCATTCTCTGCAATCCCATCTGGGATGTTATTGCTTCTATTATAGTTAAAGAAATCCATGCATTGCAGAACTGTTAAGAATCTGAAACACTGGTCTGTAGAACTAAAGAGTGAATCAGGATGTTTCTATCAATCCAGTCAACGTGAAGCCATCTAAGTACCTGGGGCATTTCTGCCAGCAAGCCCCGCACAGTCCCAGCAAACCACACAGGATGCTCCCGTTTATGCATCCCATGAATATGGTCCAAAAAGGGCAAATGGTACTGACTGGAGTCCGTTTCATTAAAAACTGACTCTGAAGGAGTTTCTCACACAGAAAGATCAGAACCATTTTGCACTTTGGAGAGTTTGCTTGGCCTGGAGGAGGGGGCTGGCTTGAGAGAGAGGGAAGTGATCAAGGAGCCTTCCAGCACTTTGCAAAGCCCAGGGCAAGTGGGTTTCCTCCTCTCCCTTCCTGCTCACCAGCTCTCTCCTTCCTCTTCCTCCAGGGCTGGTAGGGCAGAGACGACACCTGTGGGCGCCAGCTGACCCTGTTCCTTCCATGCCCAAGTCTTCCCTCATTCAAACACTTCATGCCCTCCCTTCTCCCCGTTAAATAGTCCCAGTAACTTACTATGGAGCAAATAAGCCTGGCTGTACTCACCCTAGTGCTACTAACTGTGTTTTATGGCAAAAATAAAATCTTCAGCCATCATCACCAAGTACATGCATTCGGGGTTCAGTGCTGGGATAGGCTACAGAAAATCGAGATATCAGGTGATTCCGGCCAGCCTATTCCCAGGCCCCCAGTGCCACTGGAAACAGGCTCCCCTGAGTTCAGAAAGCACCTGACTATTTCTTAGTCAGAGTTGTTCACGTAATTAGAATTCGCTCTGTCCCTTCGTTTCCCAGATCCTTATGTATCATCCTAACCAGATCTATGGATCATTTTAAAACAAAGGTAAGTATAACCTAAAAACTACACACAGCAAAATGTCATTGGCATGATCGCAATATTCTCCCACGCTGCCGGCACCAGGTGCTGCCCTGATAATATTGAGAAGGCATTTTTCTAAAATTCCAGTAAATATGCTACTGTGGACGTGTGAGTATAGTGTCTTCTAGAAGTTGCTCAGCTGCCAGCCCAGATAGGTGTCCCTAGAAAAGGTGCCCATACTTTCTATCTCCAGGAAACATATGCCCGCTGTTGAGAGTATGGAGATAAAGTCATCTCTTTGGGGCGCCCTGGCTGCTCACCGATCCAGCTGGCCTAAGAGTATCACGATTGAAACAAATATGAAACTACATGGGACCATCTGTTCCTCAGGTTCTTTCATTGTCACTTCCACTCCTCTCGATGTCTCTTTGACCCTGGGATGACACAGAGGTGGACGTTCGTTGTCTTTTCAGTGGATGAACGAGGCCCTTTGTTCGGAATTGCTGTCTCTTGGGCGCTGCGTGTGCTCTTTCTCTGCGGCATGACGACACCACAGATGAGGAGAGCCACAAAGGGCAGCGAGTGTTTGGGAACTCTGTGGCTCCATTGTCTCCGCGTGGCGCTGGGCTGCAGTCCAGCCAGGCTCATGCTTGCAGGGCTGCACCAAGGGATGAGGTGCGATGGTGATGGACAATGGCCAAGGCCATCCTACCGAGTTCCAGGCACGGACCTCGGCACCTGCTGCGCTCTGTCCGGGGAGGCAGGTTCGGAGATGAAGTGGCCCCACGATGGTCCCGCCCCATGAAAGGGGTGGACCTGGGACCAGGGCAAGCACCGGGGACACATGGCCCCTCTCGGAGCCGTGCATTTCCCCTAGGCCCCTGTCCTCCTTCTCGTTTTCCCAGATGGTTGGTTTTGTAGAAGTGTCTTTTAAACGACTTCCTGGAGTAAAGGTGTCCTGCTTTCACCATCCTAACCCAGGAACCCCACGCTGACCCTCCATTGTGAGCTGTGGTAGGGAAACGGGCCATTTTCTCTAATCCCCAAACAGTCGTCTTAACTCGAATGATGCTGGCCTCTACCGTGAAGTGACAGTGACAAGTGCATGTTGGGAGGTTGTCCAAAGTACATTTGCAGGGATGTTTCCCTCCCTGCTCCAGCAAAAAGGGCATCCCTGCAGGTGAGGTGCAGAGAGGAGCACGCCCAGCCCAGCTCCCTCCGCTGACCCCACTGCCCAGAAGGGAGCAGAGCCTGCCTTGCACTGGCTGTGAGTTAGTTGTTGCCACTCCTACCTGAGTGATGGGGGACCCCTCCCAAAGAGTTTTCCCCCTTTATGTACAGGATTGGCCAAGCAGTTGCGTCCAGTCAGTGATGAATGTCAGACCTCGGAAACTGAGGCGAGTCTTCCTATTGATGTCACCAGAAGGCAAGAGAGGCTGTAGGGAGCTGATCCCTTCACAGATCTACAGGGCAGAGAGGTGGGCTGAAGCCCAGTGCTTGCTTGAGAGGGCAATGTGTTGGGGGGGACTGGGGTTCTCAGGCCCCGGGGACCAGACATTCTCCTCTCCACGAACGCTGTGGCCGTGGAAATTAGGCTATTCTTTGCCAAAGGGAAGGATTTTTTTCCAACACATTTGTGATGATGTGTGCTGGGGGAGTTGTGTGTATCTATTCTTTTGCTGATGGAAATAAAAGCAAAACCCTCTTTGCCTCCAGTCCTACAAAGAACATCGTAAATCACGGAATTTCAGCCTCAGTCATATGCATATTGGCTGTTTTTAATGTATGGCAAAGAAGGTATTGACCACAGAAGAGCTTTCTGAACTAACAGTGGAAAACCAGGGTGAGAGCCTGCTCTGCATGACGCTGTGGGCAGCGGGCTAGACCGACTACGGCCTGTGCCTCTTTCTGTTCATGGTGTGTCTGCAGATCCTTTTCCCATCTATAGGATCTGTAGTTACATCCCATTTTTCATTCCTGGTCTTGGTAATTTGCGATTCTTTTTTTCTTTATCAGTCTTGCTAAGGGTTGCTCAATCTAATTTTTTTTTTTTAAAGAACCAACTTTGGTTAATCTTCCCTATTGTCCTATTTTGTGGATTTCTGCTGTGGTCATTATTCATCAGAGGTTTTAAATCTAACTCTCAAGGGTCCTGAATCCCCTTTCAGGGAGGCTCCTGGAAGTGGCACTGCTGTAATACTACCTGTTCTCCCACTTGGCCCCACAGCACTGGGGCAGGCCCTTTGCATACTGGTTAAGAATTTGAACTCGAGCTAACCTGGGCGTGAGCTCAGCTGTGAACTAAAGTAAATAGGTGTGAGGTGTTATGCGTCAATTGCTTTACCTGCAGAGACTCACTTTCTATACGTGGAAAGAGAAATAGCATCGCCGTGAGGCTCTAACTGGCCCATGATGCGAAGCAGTTAGTGCAGCATCCCTGCACTACTTGTCGGAGGATAGTGCACATCCCTACCTTTCGGAGGATATGTGGGAAGCCACGTCCAGGACTTATGCAGATGTTATGAATTTTGAATACAATGCATAATGATTCAATCAAGCTGATTAATTTATCCGTCACCTCAAACGTTTGACATTGTTGTGATGAGAATGTTTGAGATTTTCTCTCTTAGCGATATGGAAATGTACAGTCTGTGTCCTCTTAATTCAGTGGCCTCCACCTAGAAGGGAAAGGAAGGTAACTGCTGAGTCAGCTACAGACAGCACCTGGTCATAGCTTTAGTAAAAAAAGAAGAGAAAGTTAAGAGCAGAAGAAAACTGCAAGAAGTGCTCAGAAGAAGAAAAAAGAGAGATGGTGGGGAAAAGAAAAGAAATTTTTTTAAGGAGAAAGCAATCCAGGGTGTTTCTCTGTACACCTGCATCATGCAAGAATGCAGACAGACAGCTGGAGCCACGGGGCTCTGGGCCAGCAGGCAGCAGAGAGCAGCCTGGCGCAGCCTGCACCCTGCACAGGTTCATTAAGGAGCTGCAGATTGGGTCAAAAATTTCAGAGCAGGTGGGGCAGGACGGCTCACACCTGTAATCCCAGCACTTTCGGAGGCTGAGGCGGGTGGATCACCTGAGGTCAGGAGTTCAAGACCAGCCTGGCTAACATGGTAAAACCTCGTTTCTACTAAAAATACAAAATTAGCCAGATGAGGTGGTGTGTGCCTGTAATTCCAGCTACTTGGGAGACTGAGGCAGGAGAATTGCTTGAACTTGGGAGGTGCTGA